TAGGGGTAGCAGCAAGTCTGCAGGGAGGAGGTTACAGTAGATGAAGCAGAGAGTCAGAGGGGTGAGGAAGCTATAATAGCAGTGAATAGCCGGGGGCTACAAATACAGGAGTTATAACAGAGTGCCGTGTGGGTAAAGACGTGAACCTGAATAAAGACACGAAGACAGAAAGAAGTGTTCGAGTCCTTTTATTACACCGGGAAGCATGTCGGAGCATTCTCCACTTCTCAAGGTTAACGTAACGCCAAAAAAACACAACCTTCATCATCATCATCAGCCATGCTCTGTCCACTGATGGATGAAGGCCTCTCCAAGTTGTCACCGTCTCTCACAACCCTGCGATGCAACAATTCGTGTGGCACCTGCGCCTGAGCGGACTTTATCGCTCCGCCTCACAGTGGACGTCCTCTCAGCGTGTTCCCTCCCCTAACTGACACTCAGTCACTCGTCTCAACCCCCGGACAATTTGCCTGCCCCCACCAACGTTGGGTCAAGGCCTCCCCACCCCACTGCTGGGTCAAGGACTCCCCATGCCGGGAGGGTCGTGGAAGTTATTTTACTGAACTTCTTTAAGGCAAAACAATTTCCAATTTTAAGATGAAATACAGCCACAGAAACATAATGCAATTTACATTTAAATAAGGCACGAGGAAATTCGCTTACATTTTAAACAGAATGCTATCTGAACAAACGAGCATTCAAGTTGCCGGAGTGGCAATTTGTGGCTTGCGTAATAAGCCAGGAATGAGGTACGATGTGAAACACTAAGTCCTTCGCCCAGAAGAGAAAAAAGCCCCAAGCATGTCCCAGCTGAATTTGAAATCCTTTTATCATCAGAGTTGAACGGTGCCAGTGCTGACAGCACAGGGCGCAGCACCACGCAGCACAGAGGCATCAGACTTTCCAAGGCATTCTTGCTCACTCTTTCAAACTGGCCTAGTTGGAGGAACTGGCAGTGCCTTCACTTTCACCCTACCCAATTCATTGAATCAAGTGAATTCGTTTGATGTCCCCTTTTGGTGATGTGTGGACCGAAGTAAATCCTGATTTTAAAACTCAGGGAACCCTTTCAGCTGCCTCGTCTGGAATTCAAACCTGGTTCTCGTGAATTCAAATGTGCACTGTTGTTTCGTAGCGACATGGAGGAAAGCCACCGAGTGAGGAAAAAAACTACCCGCGTGTGTTGAAAGTAAATAGAATAATTGTCCCTTGGAAGCCACTGGGCACGATTTGTATTGTAATTAATTCACAGTGGAACCATACAGTGCTTTATAACCATACCATGCATGCCAAGGTTGGCACGAGGCCCAAAAACAAACAAAAAAAGACTTCTATTGCTTGAGAGTGAATTAAGTCTGCTGTGAAAAACATTGGCACATGAAAGCGCGCTTATGACGCATTGTGGGGCCTTCCCCAACAGACGTCTTCCACAACCACATTAGTAGAGTTCTACCGTGGGGTGGAGTGGTGGCGCAGTGGTTAGCGAGTTTCGCCATGAAACCAGCCACTTGAGTTAGATTTCAGGCTATGGCTACCATCAGTGGTGAGTGATATCAGAGCCGGTCATTCACCAACCCGCATTGACCAGCATGGTAAAGAATGGTCAAACAACCCTAATAATCCTGATGACTGATATGGCATCTAGCAATGGATTAACAAAAGGATGTGATAGGATGCCTTTACTACACAAGACTGTTACACACAAAATGGATTCTTAGACATGTAAGGCAATTTACGACTAAGAATCCACAACCCTTTGTCAATACACTTCTGGATGAAGGCTTCCCCATGCTGGGTCGGTCACCGGGATTGGTTGACCATGCTTCAGCTCGTCAGTCAGTGAGGGTTGGTGAAATTGGGGGCTTTGATATCGCTCGCCACCGATGTTAGCCGTGGCTGGGAATCAAACTCAGGTCACGGGGCCATAGCTCAGTACAACCAAAAAATACAACATATAAAAAATATATTACAAATATAAAAAGTATTTGAGATTTCAATCCTATTGAACATTTAAGCATCAAAACCTTGGAGTGATACATTTCAATACAAATCCGCAGTCAGCTTAAGCTAAACTTCATGACCACGCTTCATGGGTCAGATTCGCACCTTCACCAAGTACCCTTGAGTGATGTTCTCAACCGGTCTTGGTGATGGAAACAGAGACACTTTCCACAGTATCAGACAAAACGGAACATTCGGCGACAAGTGAATCGAGCCCAATGCCCTTGAAGCCGGAGGCCGTGTAAATGCCCCACCGCATCATCAGAACAGAACGAGCTCCGAACGGTCCACGGATTTGTGGAATAATAGAGCAATGTCTGTTTCCTAACAGCAGCCTTGGCCTTACATTGACTTGTTGCAACGTATCTCAGTCACCTTAATAAAGAACCAGGAGGAGAGTGAGGCTGGGACAGGCTGACAATATTATGTCCGCTAGAGTCCGCTTTGAAAGACTGAAATACCACGAACATGATCCCGTGGCTTAAAATGTGCATTGAATACAAATGGGCTTATAGTTGGTATGTTTAGAGAGCAAGGAGAAAGCATATATAAAATATGCTGTGCATAATTCATATGGGGGAAGTGCTACGGGAGTTCTTTACCAACCACATTCTTAGTTTAGACATTTCTGTGGCTCAAACATGTGCATTTGAAGCTGCAGAATATATAATTCAGGATTCTCACTTTCATTTTATTTCTACGATTACAGGAAGTGGTCGAGGGTCAGGATAGGCCAGACTGCCGACACAACGCCGCTATCCACGCCACGAGCACCACGCGAACCCATCGGAGCACAGCGGCACCCGCAACGATCCACAACACTGCACCGATGGCTTTCGAGTGAGGAGTGTGGAATTGGGGGTTTCATAGCAGGGCCAAGCAAGCCAGTGGGTATTCCCGAGTGAGAAATATAAAAAGAATAAGACTGTGAATATTACTGTGGAATGTGGATATTTATTGTTCTTCCATGACGACTCCCCAGTGCCATTTTGCTAGTGGCTGGCAAAATATGGGCAAGGTCTAAGTGGCTTACTTTAACGTGGGTGGAAAAATCATAAATAGTACATGTGCAGTGGCAGTGACAATAGAATATAGGCCTTTACATGAGGCCTTCTGGAGTGTGACAAACTCGCTTAAAGTCTGCAGAGCACATAAAAAAAAAAATCCATCACTTACAAAAACCCGTTATTTACTGTACTGTGCACACAAACTAAAATAATTAGCATTTGTAGTGAACATATCATTAGGTGTCTGCTGAGCGTGTGTCAATTGAAACCCTGGACACGCTTGCAAATGAGATGTTCTATCTCAAGGGATTTTACAGGTGAAATTTTTTCATTTCATTTCAAACCACGTGGCTTGGATAATTCATTCTCGAAGACATCGTCATTCCAGCTGAGATTACTGGCGGCGCCGCGACTCGCTGCAAACAAACGGAGAAACACGACGAGAGAAGGGTGACGCAGCAGCGCACCACCATCACCACCCTCACTGAGGAGGGTGACGGAGCAGCGCACCACCGTCACCACCCTCACTGAGGGTGACGCAACAGTGCACCACCATCACCACCCTCACTGAGGGTGACGCAGCAGCGCACCACCATCACCACCCTCACTGAGGAGGGTGACGCAGCAGTGCACCACCATCACCACCCTCACTGAGGAGGGTGACGCAGCAGCGCACCACCATCACCACCCTCACTGAGGAGGGTGACGCAGCAGCGCACCACCATCACCACCCTCACTGAGGAGGGTGACGCAGCAGCGCACCACCGTCACCACCCTCATTGAGGAGGGTGACGGAGCAGCGCACCACCATCACCACCCTCACTGAGGAGGGTGACGCAGCAGCGCACCACCATCACCACCCTCACTGAGGAGGGTGACGCAGCAGCGCACCACCATCACCACCCTCACTGAGGAGGGTGACGCAGCAGCGCACCACCATCACCACCCTCACTGAGGAGGGTGACGGAGCAGCGCACCACCATCACCACCCTCACTGAGGAGGGTGACGCAGCAGCGCACCACCATCACCACCCTCACTGAGGAGGGTGACGCAGCAGCGCACCACCATCACCACCCTCACTGAGGAGGGTGACGCAGCAGCGCACCACCATCACCACCCTCACTGAGGAGGGTGACGCAGCAGCGCACCACCATCACCACCCTCACTGAGGAGGGTGACGCAGCAGCGCACCACCATCACCACCCTCACTGAGGAGGGTGACGGAGCAGCGCACCACCATCACCACCCTCACTGAGGAGGGTGACGCAGCAGCGCACCACCATCACCACCCTCACTGAGGAGGGTGACGCAGCAGCGCACCACCATCACCACCCTCACTGAGGAGGGTGACAGAGCAGCGCACCACCATCACCACCCTCACTGAGGAGGGTGACGCAGCAGCGCACCACCGTCACCACCCTCATTGAGGAGGGTGACGGAGCAGCGCACCACCATCACCACCCTCACTGAGGAGGGTGACAGAGCAGCGCACCACCATCACCACCCTCACTGAGGAGGGTGACGGAGCAGCGCACCACCATCACCACCCTCACTGAGGAGGGTGACGCAGCAGCGCACCACCGTCACCACCCTCACTGAGGAGGGTGACGCAGCAGCGCACCACCATCACCACCCTCACTGAGGAGGGTGACAGAGCAGCGCACCACCATCACCACCCTCACTGAGGAGGGTGACGCAGCAGCGCACCACCATCACCATCCTCACTGAGGAGGGTGACAGAGCAGCGCACCACCATCACCACCCTCATTGTTCAGCTGCTAAGCAGAGTGGCGTGAAGAGAGCGAGCCGTCGCTGCGATTAGCGCCGCTGCCCAACGGCCCAGCCACAAGCGCCCCCGCCCCCATCCTCCTCCACAATCACCGTCGCCAAGGCGAGCGCCGTGAGCCCAGCCGGTCCATTCTCACATCCCTCCCCCTCCATCCCCACACCATCACTACCGCCCGCGACCCCCGGTTACCACGGCAACTTACCACAGACACTGCGACCTCCACTCCAAGAGTTCCCCAGCTCACGATCAACATCAGGATGCCCAGCAACAGCATCCTGGAGCACGCACACACGTACGGGGGGGGGGGGGGTAGTTTAGCACAAGCGTGGCGGGCATCGTAACGGAGCACGCGGCAACGCGTCCACCCACATCGGCCGTTGCACTCGGGATAAAACGCGTCGAATAATGCGTGCAGGAGTCCGTGATTTGTAATGCGCGCGAATGAAATGCGAACGCTGCATTCGAGGCGACAGAACTATTCTGTAGCCTAAAATGAAAGAGCAAACAGAATAAAGGGAGCCTAAGGATTACAACGTTTGGCTACGTACGGTGCGAAAGAAGTCCAACATACATTCAGAAAAGTGAGATGAAAACAACGGGTTTTTCATATCTTGAATCGCAACCCTGAATCGTGGAAATGTACTGAATTACTGGAGGGGGCGATATTCGTTTTTTGGCTTGTGATGCTTGTGACAGAATGTAACACCACAACATCTAGGAGCGAGTTTTTTTTCTACAGCAAAATCGGTTCAACGTAAGCAAACTCTGGACCGGTTTTGACATTTGGTATCTCATCAGCAGACTCGGGCATGCTTAAAGCAGTGCTGAACTGTCAGACGGTTATCGGGAATGACCCTAGTTCGACACACCGCTATGGAATACACAACGCAAGTGGATATAGCACTACGCAGTAAGCAGGAGACGGCTATGCACAATGTGCTCTGTACAGTCATAGGGAAGATATCCAGCGAGACCTCATGAGCGTATCAGTGACTCAGTGGGCTCGGGGATCAGTGCCTGTGCCCCCCCCACCGGTCTTACATCTGACAAACGGACCATGAATAAATGATGACCAGGGTGCGAATTAGCATCTCCCATTGAAACACAGAGCAACACGATTATGTCAACATAAACAGCCTAATTCCCTCCGTATAATCAAGCGTAAAAAAATGTAGAAATTGACTGATAAAGACTCATTTCTGCCACACCTATATTCATTCGTACGCGTGCCGTTGACTTATTCCCATTGTCCATCGCGTGCAGGAACACATTGAATGCACTGCGCAGTAATTACATGAAGCCGTGCACAATGCCATCAGCGCAATACACAAACCAACACAAACCACACACACAACAAAATGCGATGTGCGTCCAAAATGTGAAGCTGTAAAATCCGCGAGCTTACGACTAAATCAGTGGCCCCCAACATTTTTGGCACCAGGGACCGGTTTCGTGGAAGACAATTTTTTCACGGACCGGGGGGGGGTCATCATTGGGTCTTTCCCCCTTTTCAAAGAAGCTCTCCAGCGACGTTTGTTTTGTTACTCATTGTGGCTACTAGGGGTTAGCAGCTTGTGGGCTTACCAACACTGTGACAAGTGCGCAGTGCGGGAAAGAGGCGCGGACGGAAGTGGTGAATAATAAAACAATGGGGGCGGGCCACGTGCAGACTCACCGCCCTCACCTCCTGCTGTGCGGCCCGGTTCCTAACAGGCCACGGACCGGTACCGGCCCGTGGCCCGGTGGTTGGGGACCCCTGGACTGAATCACCTGGAAGTTGCACCCGGTCTCGTCAGATCTCGAAAGCTAAGCAGGCCTGAGTCTGGCACGTGCTTGGATGGACGACCACCGGGTGTTACCGGCTGCTGCAGGGCTACGTTATAAGCAGGAGGCGGTACAGGAACGTTCCCTGTTGCTCTGCACAATCCATGCTCCCCGCTATCAACCACCCACACGGACCAGCGTGGTGAGGTATGGTTCAACTACCCCCATGACGGCACGGCAGGGGGGAGGCCCTCATCCAGCAGTGGATTTACCATGTGCATGAAAACAAGAGCTATACATGTGGTCAATTGTCAGACGGTCAGTTTAGACACCTGACCACCGCACAAATCCATTTAAATGGATTACAGAGAAATCAAGCGATGCACGACAGAGCGAGTGAGAGATCCATTCATGAGCTTCAGCGCTCGCCGGGGCGTTGCGCTCGAGTCGGAGACCTCCCGCAGAGGGACACTGAATGGCAAGACGCCCGACAGCGCTGAGAGGAGCACTATTCAAGGGCGATAGAGTTCGGGCATGGCGACTCGACCCTGGGCCGATTTCTCATTACATACGACGCAAACAGTCCTAGACGATTGACAATCAGTCATCTGATTGTGGCAGACGCTCCTGACAACGAGTTGAATTCGAATGCCGGCCCGTGCGTACGTCGGCGAAGACACGCGAGTGCGTTGGCAGCTCCATTTCTAGAGAAGGCTTCCAAATGAGAAACACGACTTCTGTAGGCTCCTGGTCTCAGCGGGCTCTTACACACGACCGCTGTCAATCCGCAGCTGGATGAGGGCCTCCTCTGCATGCCGTGCCGGGGTGGTTTGCGCGAGTGCTCCGGCAGGACGGACGCCTCCCCCGCAATGCAGAGGTGAAAATTGAATCTGGCTTGAGCGTGCAGCATAGGCAGCAATTTAAATGCAAAGCATGAGTTGTGATGATATTAGACGTAGGAGCTGCTCGTTTTGCGTTCGTATGTTGGTACACGTAGGTGCAAATTGCGCCGTGGTATCCTTTTCCCTGGAGAAATTGTGTGTTTTTTCTACGATCGAATATTTTCCCTGGTAGACACGAACTGCGAAGGCAAGCGTACATCCAGCATAGTGTCAGAAAATAACAGCCAAGGAGGAGGCGGCCACTTGGCTCAGAGATTGAGCGCTGTGCCAGCAATGCTGAATTCCTGGGTTCGAATCCAGGATTCAGCCACCTGTGCTTGAACCAGGTGGAGTTGATGGCCACGACATTCCACGACAATATTCAAGAGGAGAACTGATTCTTAACTCAAATCGTGAAACAGAATCAGGACAAATCATCGAATCGTGAGGGAGACAACCCGTTCCACCTCTAAATGCAACAAACTCAAACCTACACACTAGCGACAGTGCGCACGCACAGCCATTTGTCTATCCACTGCTGGATGAAGGCCCTCTATGCGCCGCGCGGGTCCTGGGCATTTACTTCACCGTACTTCACCACGCTGTTCGGTGTGGGTTGGTTAAGGCGGGGAGCACAGATGCAGCAGCATAGAAGTACAGTACAACAACATACTTTTCGGCACTGCCCTCTGCCGCCCGCACGCCACGTTTCCAGGAGACGAACGCACGCGCGCACAGAACCAGCGCCGTAATTTTCCGTGGGATCGACGGAAAAACTTCAGAAACGGCCAGTTACGGAATATGCAGTGGCGTCCACCTAGATATGAGCTCCACTCACTCGGAAACTGTTTACTGGGATGCGGCGCGGTGCAGGACAAATGCAGTATGGGACGAGCAACTCGATAAGCACTGGGAATGAACACTCGGGCTGCCGGATCCATGGCGCTGTGCCCTATCCACTGTGCCACTACTCCACCCAGATATTGTAATTATCATTATACTCAAACTTGATTTGAAGCTTTCGTGACTGCAGGAAAAACTCTTTGGTTCTTTCGGTAAAGCCACGTAGAAAGAAAATAAATTAAATAATAGAATACGTCTCTGTGTGTCTATGTTGTGTGTCTCTCTCTCTGTGTCTCTGTGGTGTCTATCTCTGCTTGTGTGTCTGTCTGTGTGTCTCCGTGTCTGTGTTTTTTCTCTCTCTCAAATTTAGTTCTACCTGATGACGATTGCTTGTGTTGCAATCGAAACGTCGTTTTCTATTGTTGAATTTATTTTCTTTCTACGTGACTTTTCTGGATCATTATACTCATTTCGTGAAAATAATTGAAGGATGATCTTATATTAAACTACGTGTGTAGAATCTTGTTCGCTTTGTGTCCTTTGCAATGTCCCCCGTGACTCTATCCCCTCACATTGTCAAGCCCATCAGATAGTTGGGAATAGGGTCGGTAATCAATTTTAATTTGCAGCCAAATTTAATTAATTGTCCTAATTAGTGCTGCCGTGGAAAGTGTTAAAAAGCTTTGCCGTTTAAAAAAAAACACAGCAAGCAAGGTCAGAAATTACCTCTGTCTTATGGTCGCCTGTAGCTTGCATACAAAAACACTGCCCTGTCCACGGGAACCCACGGCAAGGGACGAGTTTGGTGGCAGTTGAGCACTCACGCAGGTTTCACGCTGGATCAGATTACCCAAAATACCTGTGCAGGCCTTCTAGAAATCTGCTCCAGGGGAATGGTGATGGGGATACCTGGTGCTTTTCCCAACACGTAATTGCAGAGCCTGAGACGGAACAAGACGTGGAATGGACGCCATCCTAGAGGATGTCTTCTTAGGAGATGGAGCGATGACATTAGTTCACGTGCAGACGGAATGTTGCATCACAGGATCGTGTGAGATGTGATGCCGGTTTGAGGAGGCCTTCATACAACAGGGCATTGACCATGGCTGATGATGATGACGATAAGATGCTTGGAATCTGGAGATGCTTGGAATCTGGAGATGCTTGGATTCGGTGGCGAGCGGGCATACATCAGCATCATTGGGCAACTACCTCATTAATCTTCTTCGAACAGCCACACGTTTTCCCAGAACATGCCTCTATTTATCCTGCACACGCAGCCCGCTGAGCAGCCAACGCTGCTCCCTAAGGAAGAAAAGGTGCAGCGTTTTTTTTTAAGCGCAACTCTCAACGTCTCATCCGAGGGGGGAGTGCCATGTATACTTCAAAGGGGAGTCTGCGAGAAGCTCTGCACGGAACATCTGACCCGCTTTATAAACACCGCCCGTCCGCAACAGACACACGTGTGCTTTACAACGTAACTTTTTTTTAGCTCAAATATTTCAACTGGAAAACTCAATGAGATGGAACATCTCGTTTGCAAGGGTGTCCAGGGTGTCAATCGACACCTATGCGAAGAGAACACTCTCCGCCTGATGAAGACCACTTGTGGTGCGATCGAAACGTCGTGGGTATTTTGCTTTTCATATTTTCAATTTATAAAAAATAAAAGAAAAAATATTTTGCTATTTTTTTATTGTGGTTTTTTTTCTTTTATTATTTTCAATTTAATATTTTTATTTTATTATCATTTTTTTTTTACGTGGCTTTACCAAAAGAACCAAGAACACGTAATGACGCGTGTATACAAACAACGCGAAACCTTTGGCACTGGTTGTCTATGCCATGTGAGTGGGTGAGTGGTGAGGGCCAGGCGAGTGGTGGATGTTACTGCTTGTGTCATTGTGGTAACCCAGGCCACTCGTGCAGAATGAGACTCTCTATCCTGGCCTCCTGAGTTCTCACCCTGGCCAAACAAGCCCTACTAGAGCAGTGAATGTGTGACGAGGGTCAGGTGAATCTCACATTAGCTCGTCTAGAGGACGGGCTGTCCGTTAGTGACCAATCACAGAAGATAGTGGGGTTTTACGTTGGTTTATTTATTTAACAGTTGCTGAGCACAGGCCCAGAGACACAAAACGTCAAGCGGCCAGCGACAAACAGCACTACCAGGAATCGATGAGAGTGTCGCACGTCTCTTGCCTTGAGCAAAGGAGCGTGGGGGAACAAACCGACGGGAGGAGGGGAGTTGTGACCTGCAGTGTGGTGAGTGGGTGAGTGACTGGGTGAGTGGGTGAGTAGTGAGTGGGTGAGTGGGTTAGTGTGAGAGTGGGTTAGTGTGAGTGGGTTAGTGTGAGTGGGTTAGTGTGTGAGTGAGTTAGTGTGAGTGGGTTAGTGTGTGAGTGCGTTAGTGAGTGTGTTGGTGAGTGTGTTCGTGAGTGCGTTAGTGTGTTAGCGAGTGTGTGAGTGGGTTAGTGAGTGTGTGAGTGGGTTAGTGTGTGAGTGGGTTAGTGTGTGAGTGAGTTAGTGTGAGTGGGTTGGTGAGTGTGTGAGTGGGTTAGTGAGTGTGTGAGTGTGTTAGTGAGTGTGTTAGTGTGTTTGCGAGTGTGTGAGTGGGTTAGTGAGTGTGTGAGTGTGTTAGTGTGTGAATGGGTTAGTGTGTGAGTGGGTTAGTGTGTGAGTGGATTAGTGTGTGAGTGAGTTAGTGTGAGTGGGTTAGTGTGTGAGTGGGTTAGTGAGTGTGTTGGTGAGTCTGTGAATGTGTTGGTGAGTGTGTGAGTGTGTTAGTGAGTGTTAGTGTGTTAGCGAGTGTGTGAGTGTGTTAGTGAGTGTGTGAGTGTGTTAGTGAGTGTGTTAGTCTGTTAGCGAGTGTGTGAGTGTGTTAGTGAGTGTGTGAGTGTGTTAGCGAGTGTGTGAGTGGGTTGTTGTGGCCAGCAGTGTGGTAGTTGAACGCAATGTTGTGGATGGATGAAACCCCAGAGTCAGTGTCTGGCAGAGTCAGAGTCCTCAACGTGGGTGGAGGAATCATCAAGTGAATTTCACGGGAATGGTCACCATGGTAGCAGGCAGAGAAGAGTGATCGGTGTCCCGCAAAAGAGAACTCACAGGATGAGTAGGCACCGTGACTGCTTCGAGAGGCCCAGCAGCACCAACAGGCAGATGATAATGTCCAGGATGAGCAGCAGTAGGTAGGCCAGCCACCTGTGCGTGGGAAAAGAATGCCGTGTCAACATTTAAAAGCACACACACAACAACAATAATCGTTGCATTTATACGGCGCTGAAATGCCTCGGCAACAAAGCGCCCTGCACCGCATCCCGTCTGCCACTGAGCACCCCCGGTGGCAGCCGTCTCTGTGCGGCACGAGGTGACTCGGCACCTGGCCTCCTGAGAGGGGGTGGCGAGCATCGGCTCGTTACACCTGCGACAGCGGCTTGCTCAACAACGCAACTCGCAGGCCACAATGGCAACACAAACGTTGGAGCCCATTTCTCAACAGACCACGATGGTGCAGCCATTGCTGCTGCTCGACTCACAATGCACAGAGACGGTCTTCGTGTGCTCTGCGCATCGTTGTAAAGGTTTTCGTCAGCCACTCTGTGCATGCATTCCAAATAAAATACAAGTAGACTTTTTTTGTTTCATTGCCTCTGTAACACAGTTGTTTTTGTTCTAAATTATATGACCTTGATTGTTTTTTTGCCGATTTATATTTGGGCCATTGTTGTAATTCTTTTTGACGTCGTTGCTTTTTGTCGTGTTGGTCAGCCAGGTCAGCGGCTCTTACAACTCAGACTCATCCTGGCCTCTTGAATTCTCACCTGGTTGAACAAAAATCAACTCTAAAATAATTTAGTTGAAAGTGCAAGAGGGGGGGGGGGTGGCAGGGGGGGGGTAGAGTGATGGTTACTGTGAACAAAAATCCCATCGGTTGAAAAGCACCACAGGGTGTTGTCATAAAGGGTCTCCCTCTGGCTGAGATAAAAAAAAATGCGATGAAATGATTGAGGATAAGGGAGTGCTTGGTACACATGGGTGCCCAGAGATCAAGCAGCAGCAGCAATACGATTATCTGCAAAATGCAATCATCTGACTCGACACTGTGGATTAAATGTGGCAGCTGGGACTGCAGAGTAAGTGTGCTGGGTTATGCGTATGCAATGTGGCATCTGCTGCATGCCTCCGGAAGGTTATTCACAGGACTTCGGGAGAGATTGCAAGCCAGCACCAGTGTGTTCTAGAGTCTCAAGCATAACGACGACAACAAGCTACTCAAACAATACAGGAACTTATCAAAAGTATTACGCTTGATTACATGATAATTCTTCTTGGTTCTTTCGGTAAAGTCACGTAGAAGGGAAGTAATAAAATAATAAAAATAAAACATAATAAAATAATTCTCACGACGTTTCGGCTACAACGCAAGCAGCCGTCTTCAGGTGAAGAATGAGACACTGCCAAGCTAGGAGCTTATATATAAGCTGGGTTGGAGGTGGAAGAAGAGCGCCTTAACAAAAATAATGTGCATATCAAGAGGAATTTAGCATATTCATTGGAAATGCGTAGGAGGTGGGCGGGGGGGTTTCAAAGTCATATTATGCAGGATCAGCAGCACCAAAGGGATGGTGCAGGGAGTAGCATTCCGAAAGGAATGTTAATAGTATGTAGCTGCAGTTACTAAACAACCACGTAGAAAACTAAAGTATAAACTACATAAAAAACTAAAGTATAAACTGCATAGCATCATCAGTATACTTACTATACTCTACAATAAGCTGAGTTACTAACAGTAAGTAATACATTACAATTCTACGTCGTAAAAATTATATAATATGCTTCCATCTAAAATTTATTCTCTTACATCACACGAGTATACACCGTACTATATACTGCCATAGACAAACCCAACATTCAATTACATACTGTATTGCTATAATTATTCTACCCACCCTAATGTGTATCACACTGCTATATGTTTACTATACAATTACGATACTATATATTACTTTGTACATTGTATTAAGCATATAAATGTTATACTATTTGTTATTATACACTGTACCATTGACCGTCGTGTCAATGGGTGAGTCGTGGGGGGGAAACTTGCAGCGGAGCAAAGAATCCATTCCCTGCGGAGAATACAATGCCAGTGAGTGGAACGCGGTCTGAAAGTCACCGTAAACGTGAACACAATCAGTTAAGATCCGAAATGGTTTATTACGTCCTTCCAATGATTGCTAAGCCAGAATCCATCTTCTCGGTTGAAATTGTCTCTGTTTGTATATGTGGATAGCCTCATGAACGAATCTCTCATGGTAGCCAGATGGCTTGCAGAGAACCTCTGTCTTGGAGAAGTCAATGTCATGTGAGCCCACTGAGTTGTAACAGTGATCTGCCACGGCTGAGGTGTTTGTCCTACCGTGTTTCAGGTCTGCTTTATGTTCACGGATGCGGTCCGAGACATGTCGTTTGGTTTCCCCAATGTAACTGCTACCACAGAGGCAACTTAGTTTGTAGACGCCAGGGTACTGTATGTCTGGAACCACATCTTTTACAGACGTGACCAGATCACGGATTTTATGTACTGCGTTGAATCGGACCTGGATCTTGTGTTTAATCAGGATTTTGGAGATCTTTTTTGTGACCCCAGCAATGTAGGGTAAGGTGATGGTCTTGAAAGGCTCCTCAACAGGATCCTTCTTGATGGTTGGAGTGATGGCTTTGCGGATTGTGTAGTCGGAGTAACCATTAGCCTTAAGAGCTTGGCGTACGTGTTTGAGTTCACTGGCAATGTGTTCCTGGTCTGAGATGCATTGGGCTCTATGGTATAGAGTCTTGATGAGGGAATTCTTCTGGGATGGATGGTGGTGGGAATCCGGTTTTAGGTAAGCATTCGTATGGGTGGCTTTCCTGTAGACAGAGTGGCTCATTGAACCATCAGGTCTCCTTTTAATTAGGACATCCAAAAAGGGTAGCTTGCCATCTTTTTCGACTTCCATGGTGAATCTGATGGCTGGGTGTATGGAATTGATGTGGTCGAGAAATTGGTCTAGAGCAGGCCGGCCATGTGGCCAGATGACAAAAGTGTCGTCTACGTACCTCTTCCATAAGGTCGGGCGTAGAGTGGCAGTCTGGATGGCGCCAGTCTCAAATTTCTCCATGAAGATGTTGGCTACAACCGGAGATAGGGGGGAGCCCATTGGGGTGCCCTCAGTTTGCTTGTAGAAAAGTTCCATTCCAGGTGAAGTATGTATTGGTTAAGCAGTGTCTCACCAGGGGGGGTACCCCAGCATTCAGTCTTTGATGAACCAAGTCTTCAATGATTGCGATGGTGTCAGGTACAGGAATTTTGGTGAATAAGGAAACCACATCAAAACTGACAAGCAGGTCGTCTGGGGACAGGGCAATCCCCTTGATTGTCGATACCAGGTCAGTAGAGTTTAGTACCGCAGAGGTGGTTTTTCCAGTGAAAGGCCGTAGGATTTCAGACAAAAAACGAGCCAATTTATAGGTGGGGGAGTTGATAGTAGAGACAATGGGACGAAGAGGTGTATCTTCTTTATGTATCTTTGGCAAGCCGTATAATCTTGGTGGGCTGGCTGCAGAAGGTTTCAACGAGAACTGTTTGGTCTGATCAATTAATGCGGTTGAATCAGAAATGATTTGCTTGGTTTTTGAGACGAGGCTGTTGGTGGGGTCTCTTTTTATTTTTGTATAGCTGCCATCGTTGAGTAGTTCTTGGATTTTGTTGTTGTATTCTGTTTTGTCCATGATGACAGTGGCATTGCCTTTATCGGCTGAGAGGATGACAATGTCATCCCTCTTTTTTAATTGAGCTAATTCAAAACGCTCATCTTTGCTGATGTTGCTAGCTGGCATCTTAGCGTTTTTGAGGGTTGCAGCGATTTCAGATCTTGCTACGTCTGCAGCGATGTGACTCAGGCCCTTGAGAGCTACATCTACTCTAGCAATTATATCATTAACTGGCATGTGTCTAGGTGTGACTGCAAAGTTTAGTCCTTTAGCTAAAACGGATTTCAGACCTTCAGAAATAGACCTGTTACTGCGATTGTTTAAAACCCCTTTTATGAGTTGGTAGTGAAGCGGTTAGCACACTGCACTACGAACCTGGCGACCCGGGTTCGATTCCCGCTCACGGCCAACACCAGTGACGGTTATTTTAACCGGTCCTGGGCCTCCCCTAGGTCGACTCAGCCTAAAATGAGTACCTCGTGCGGTGTGTAAACATCGCTACAAGAGAGACAAAGGCGGCCGGGCGTGGTGTTGGCCACCCACCCCCTCGTGTGCCGTGCCGGCCTTCATAGGTGCTCGCTAACAGCACTTGCTCCAACAGTCTGTTAAGGCTACACTGGGGGATATTTTTATTTGTTATCTTTGCGTGCGTGCGTGTGTGCGTGCATGCGTGCGTGTGTGTGTGTGCGTGCGCGTGTGTGTACGTACGTGCGCGTGTGTGCGTGTGTGTGTGTGCGCGTGCGTGCGTGTGTGTGCGTACGTGCGTGTGTGCGCGTGTGTGTGTACGTGCGTGAGTACGCGTGAGTGTGCGTGCGTGTGTGCGCGTGCGTGTGTGTGCGCGCGTGCGTGAGCGCGCGCGTGCACGTGTACTCGTGTGTGTGTGCGTACTAAAACATCATGGGATCTCCTCTGCCAGTACCAAAATACGATAATCGGGTTTTCCCCTTTTTCTGGCAACAAAACAGGTGTGTTTTGTTGCCAGAAAAAAAGGGGGGGGGGGGAAACCTATTATTGTACTAAGACGTTTTAACGCCCCACCACTGCAGATTTATACGACACAAATACCTTTAATCAACACGTCATGAATATTAATGTTGCATTACTCTGGCTCTAGAGACGTGAAAATGAAGGTCATTGTACTATTATTGTGATTGCTAGCATTGTTACTCTCACTGTCTGTGCAGTCTTTGTCCTGTATCTGTCTCTCTGTCTCTCTTTGTCTTTGTATCTGTCTGTCTCTTGGTCTGTGTCTGTCTCTCTATTTGTCTCTGTGCATGTCTGCTCATGTGAATGTGTCGCCTGCTCTCTCTCTCTCTTGCTGTACTCTGTTACAACAACATTACGCTGTGTTCTCTCTGCTTTCTTCACGTCACTTTTGACATATTCAGACACAGAATCTCAGGACGCATCACTAGGAAAAACACAACGCAAATTTGGATTCCTACAACATCTATATCCGACGGCACCAGAGATGCAGCGCGTATTTGTTTTAGAGGCAGAGGAAATGTTGCTTTGAAACGTGTGGAGCCGCGAAGCTCGGGGCCCTCCGTGATGAATGCCGGCGATACAAATTTACGACGACATCGCTACACGCGCATTTAGCACACGGACTGGTACAGCAAAATCAGCAAATTTGATTAATAAGTTCGTGTGGAGAGGACATTTTTGAGGTTATACGCTTGGCAAAAAAGGGTGTTTTTGTATTCATATATTGCCCTGACATTTATCATCGTTATCCACAACCTGCCACCTTTGACTGCAGCATAATTCCTCTCAAATTGTGGCCATGATTTGTAGCATATGCTGTGAATTTTAAACGTGTCACCTACCTGTTTACATGTATAACCTGTCCAGCCACTGCAGTCACATTTCAAACATACCTTCTAAAATATTTTCGAACTGGAACAGTTTATCACCGAATCGTTTGCTGTGTAATCCATTTATTTCCACATTAGAGAAACGGCAGCACCGGTTGGTGGTTAGCACGCTGCATTACGAACCCACACAACTTGGGTTTGACTCCCGGTCACAGCTAACATCAGTGGCGTGTGACAAGTGAACCGATCCTGGACTCCCCCGTCACGACCTGCAATGGCGAGCGGAAGGAGAGGCCTCCGTCAGTGGACAGACAAAAGCCGAGACATCACGATTCGTCACCAAACAATTGCTGGCAACAGTGATTCCCATAAACTCATCACTGTGTTCGGAAGAAAAACAGAGTTTTATAAGGAGGCAAAGATACATGAATGAGTAGAGTAACTAAAGCAAAGTTCACTTTGACCAAAGCTGCATCTTTGTTTTACACTGCAGCAGCAGTAGTTGTCCTTCCCCAGCACCTCCAATTAAAGCGGTTGGCTACGTACTATGCGAAAGAAGTTCAACACACATACATACTTACGAGGCTGCTCCTACAAACCGCTCACCGGACCAGGGCAGGAAACCATACTCTTTGGTTCTTTCGGTAAAGTCATGTAGGTAAAAAAATTACACAGGGCAGGAAACTTCAACGGAACTCAGGTCCTTTCTTTTGGAATTCAAAGTTGCTTGCCGTGACAAAAAGTATGCATTTGCTGCTTGCGAAAAAACACACCTAGACTATCTACAAAACAGCATCGTTACACCGTTTACATCGGTGAAGTTGCTTTGTGAGCTGGGTGGTTCACGTTGCGCTACACCCACGGCAATGTAAACCAAGGCCCTGGCTGACAGAGAGCGGTTCTAGGGAGCTCCCTCCATTGGATGCTGGCAGTGGCGTGAGCAAGAAATTGCAGGGCTGCACCTTTATCGTTTGCCATTTTACCGACTGGCCAATGACCTCTCTAGAACATCAACAGCGGCATTTGTGGGCTACCACGGACCTCTGCCGGTGGTCGATTCATCTCGGTATCTCCGTGGCCCCACTGCACACGCGCACGCCGTCCTCAACGGCGGATATCGCGCGCGAGTCCTCCTCGGAGAGTGAACACGGATGGAGCGCGCACCGCGTGACGTTTTATCGAAAAGTCATGAAGGGAATTTTTAAAATCCACAATTTAACGTTGCAACGTTTTCCTTCATTCAGGACCAAATGCTTAAAATAAATAAATATAAAACCATCCGCAGTGTGCAAACCATCATTTGGCTGGCGAGATGCTCGTTATGGCCGTGATGTTTATGCTAATGAGCATGGGCGGCTGCCACTGCTCACGCCGGCGCGGGAGACGTAACTCCACGCTCACAACACGGCGTCAACATTGATGATGTTTTTTTGTTGTTGCGAAATATCGACGCACAGAGCATGATGAATATGATTCAATCTGTTCCAGAGAACCAACAACTTCATGAAACGCTGACTCTTCGACAACAACAAGGCTTTTATTCGGCGAGACACACGCGTACATAGAACCTATGACGTGAACTCTGTGGTGGTCATCATCATCTGAATCATCTGCATTAACCCACTGTTAGATGCATCTCTCCCTGTGCAAACATGACGTCATCGTATTGCATACTACTCGCTGTTAAGAGTTGAATGCGATTTATTTGATGATGATGCGACAGTAACACATTGCTGATGGGGACAAATCCTGACCAATCCAGGGATGAACGTACTCACACCGTGAGCTATTTTGTTAAACCGACAGTTTGTTTGTTTATGGATCACGTGTTGGACCTGAGCGGCAGTAGAAGAGGAGCCGTGCCAGAGCTTCCCAGAGCACCGAACGTGCGGACCGCCACTTCCCACAACCACTCCGACTCCTGCGAACGTGGGCTTCGAGACGAATGGGTTGCACAGCAGAACTTATACATTCCCATTTCCATCATCGGACTTGATGTGAACTGTTCCACCCGGATCCTAAGTGACTCACAGTCAACATTCCTGAAGGAAGCCCTGCAGGCCCAACATATGAACTAGAATGTTATCGTAAACAAACGAACCGGGCGGTTAAACAAACAAGCTCACGGAGTCACAAACTCTTAGGCGTTACCACCGATCGCACCAATTATAAATGTCGTGAACGTTTCCCCGTTCATCTCGACTCGTGTCACAACCCTGAGCTCTGCCCAGAGCACGCGTCCGCTTACATTGCCTCCACCTCGGTGGCTTTCTTAACAAGCGGCCCAGAGTTTAAACCAAGCTCACAAACGCGCCTTCGCTCATCCAGCAGCTGCCCAATGTGGGGGTGGGGAGCGTAACAAAAAATAAACAAATGGAAAAAACTAAACCCGGAGAGAGAGAGCGATAGAAAGAGCGAGCGAGCGAGCGAGCGAGCAAGCGCTGACCTGTAGAATTCGACGAAGGAGATGCTGTGCGCCGTGCGCTCGAGCGACACGCCGCGGCCCCAGAAGGGCACCCCGGCCAGCTGCTGCAGGAGGCCGTCCAGCTCGGTGCGCGCCCGCCGCACCAGGCGCAGGAACTCGGGCCGCTTGGCGAACGCTTCCTCCAGCCGCAGCAGCTCCGAGCCCACGGCCTCGCGCAGGTTCGACTCCGTCACCAGCACCTGCGGCGAGTCACGGTCGCGTCGCCGAGAGTTACGGTCGCACCGTGGTCAGAGCGGTGGCCTCTAATCGGAGGAAATCACTACATCCCCAGCTCGACTGCTTAGTTAATATGCCAGTAGAGTCGTGTAAACACAAAGCGAGTCTTTCGAGGCCAGACCGCCCCTGTGAATCTTCACCGTGGAACTGACTCACAATCTCCACCCTGTCACATCCGTGTTTGTTGCGTGTCTTCTCTGCACATCCAAGTGAGCTCAGTTTCACCACACCAAGGACGCTAACCAATTCGGTTGAATGACATTAAACCTTTTATTTATTTTTTGATTTAAAGCTTTCGTGACTGCAGGGATTTATATTCTTGGTTCTTTCGGTAAAGTCACGTAGAAGGGAAATAATAAAATAATATAAATATAAAACAATAAAAAAATTGCAACTTTACCGAAAGAACCAAGAATATGACATTAAACCGTTAAAGGTGCAGCCCTGCAACGTCCCGCTCACACCACTGCTGGCAGAAGGGTCTCAAACGGAGGAAGCTCCAGAGAGCCCCTCCAGAGAATATTTTGGTCGACTCTTCTAAACTGGCCAGACATCTCCCAAGAGGTGGCACTACCCACGCGTTACCACACCGCACACCATCTGCCAATCACCAGAGGCGAGAGACCGCCCACGGCGATCTCCAGCAAGCATTCACCGGTGGGTTCAACCTCCCGAGGGGTTCACGCTCGGGGCTCTCGCGGCGCACAGAAGGCCCCCAACGCACGGTGGGGGGGGGGGGGGGAGACCGCACGTTGCCGTCGCTAAATCTGATCCTCAGCCCAGGGCCGAGCGGCCACTGGCGCGAAGCTGCCGCTCGTTCCTCCCAGGGAGCGACGCGGTCACCGCGGCGTCGTTTCTCACACGTCATGGCGCGACGTTGCGGAAACTTAACAGAGAGCTGCGTGCAAGAGCTGCGTGGATCGCCACATCGCAATGTCCCACGAGGTAGGGGGGGGGGCAGGCTTGGGGATGCCGTCATCCAGCAGTGGATTGATCAATGCTGATGATGATAAATGAAATAAAGTGGACACATTTCATTTCATATCAATGCCATTCTCATACCACGAAGGCCATCACGAAGCCGTTGTGTTTCACAAACCGTGTAGTCTGCTTATAGGGGACAGTGCCGCTGTGTGGTTTTACTCGGTTGAGTAATTTTCGAATTTGAACCATGAGGCCGGCAAACAGGGTCCACTCGTGTTTCAACTAACGTCGTGGGATCTTTAACATCCACTACTGAAGCGGATTGCGCACAAGCAGTACATATGATGAACAATGCGCGAGCACAGTTTTATTACCCAGGGGCAGCCGTGGTCTTGAATCACGGAGTTCTGCTCCAAGCGGCAAACTGCGCCACGACTCGGACACTATCCAGGGCCCACGTTCGTCTCCCAGCAACAACAACAACCGCAGGCGCCACTCCACGCCGCTATCCTGCGGAGCTTCCCGCAGATCATCGCTGCTCGAGGTCACTCCTTTTAATCGGGACAAATACGCTGGTAATGTGAAGAACCCATCCATAAAATTATTGTGGGTTCGGGTGCGAAGATGTTAAGAATAGCGGGTAACCAGACCCACTGGCTTGGAGAAGCCGTGTGTCATGGAGAAGGTTAATCCATCGCCTCACATGGCAGCATTAAGAATTCGTATGGCCATTGGCTTTGTGACCGTGAAACCCTTCCATGGCAAGGCCCAGCTTTGGATTCACTTTCTCTATTGATTTCACTCAAAATAAAACATCATTGCCGATACACTGAGCACAGCTTGAATGAAATTCGTTAGCCCTGAATTCCCTAAACCCCAGTGCACTATAGTTTAGGATAATGCAGTGTCTCCCCATCGATCACGTTCTCTGCATTGCTGGCCCTGCAGTGAAAGTAAGTCTTGAAAACGATCAATTATCAAGGTTGTCGAGGATTCATTATCATTGATCGAAAGACCTTCCCCATTTGTGCGGAAAGTCTGCTATACGTGTCACGATCTAATCTGGTGGTGGTGGCGAAGTGGTTAGAGCCCTGCACTGTGAACTTGGTGACCTGGTCTCAATTCCTGGCCACGGCTAACATGGGTTAGCACCCCATCCCCTCCACCTACGACACTGACCTGTGTGATGAAGTTTCTGGTCAAATAGCCACCATGACCAACACGGCACAGGGAGGCATTCATCTAGCAGCGGGTTGACACAGTGCTGTAAACGATGATAATGATGCTTGCTGGTGATTCGCTCAGATGCACGGCAGCCCTGTGCAGTGGTCCACTGCGCTGAAACACTTTCTTTTTGGTTTGCATTTCCGCTGAACTTTCTCGAGTGTCAGTCTGCCATACCCTGCATACAAATTGCTCTCAACTGAATGAATAAAGGCCTTCACAGTTATTCGGCTCTATTGTTGCCCTGTTGCTACTGCAACAGCGAAGTAACTCCTCTCTGCATCCAAAGCGGCTCTGCGCCTTCTGCGAATATTAGTCGCACAAATTAATCGCTCCGTTCATTGCGGAGACTATAAGAAAGTAAATGAGCAGACAATACTATGCCTCCTTCACACATGTGTCCCTACACATACAAAATAAAGCTTTTAATTTTACACATCCCATCAGCCAAACGCATGGCCTTATGAAAGTGCATAATTTGAGCAGTATTGGTTCAACACAAGGAAAACTCTGAACCGGTTTTCAACGTTCAGTGTATGACCAGCAGTCAGGCTCGCATGAAGCAATGTTGGTGAACTGGTAAGATGTTTATAGAACAAATTGGCCCACGGAGCTATACATCTCTTTTTCAGAAGCGACTTGGCAACAAATGATAGGTGACGGTTTGGGCAATGGTCCTCCTACATAGCACACAGATAGGGGTCACGCATGTATTCGTCTTTTATATTTTCCTTGCAGAGCCACAGTGTTAGTGACGAATGGTGTTGAGCCGTTTTGTTAATTGTGCTTGTGCACCACTGCCAATGCAGCAGCAGCAGCGTCACCAAATCACTGATGGGAAGGTTCATTTTAATCTATATAGATATATAAATTTGGCATGTGGGTAGTTTCCAGACTGTACACCATGCAAAAAGTATACAAATTTACTTTTTTTTGGGAGTGTGCCTGCTGATGTCACCCCCCCAACCCTCCACGAGTAAAGTGCCATACAAATGTGTTGCAGGTTTAAGGCGTTCTTTGCTCAGCATTGGTTTATTATTTCAGTCGTTTACTGCCGTATGCACCCTGAAAGTTGCGTGTGTCTGCAGCAAGCGCGTGTATGTGTACCTATGGACGCGCGCGCATGTGTGTGTGTGTGGGGGGAGCGGTAGTGTCGTGGTTAGCGCGCTGCGCTACGAGCCCGGCGACCTGAGTTCAATTCCCGCTTACGGCCACCACCGGTGACGATTATTTGAACTGGTCCTGGGCCTCCCCTAGGTCGACTCAGCCTCAAACAAGTAACTGGTGTGGTGTGTGAATATCGCCACTGGGGAGACAAAGGCGTCCGGGCGTGGTGAATCCTAGTCCCGGGCAAAGCCGGGTAGTAAAGCTAGTAATATATGAGGCTGGAAACACATTTTACCATGTAATGTTTCAACTCATGCAATAAGCGGTGGAATTAGTCACCCGTCCCCTCGCGGGGAATTTGATGGCCTTGTCACAATTTAGGTTTACGATCCGACGCAAGGATGCATTGCGGTGTTTGTGCGGCGAATCGTAGTGGCTGCGATAATTATTCAGAATCTATGACGTCCAACAGGTAGGGATCAACAAGCAAGGGGGTGATAGCAAAGAGTCAATGGATCTACACGAGCACGGAAGAGATTTGGTCGTACGTGCTGTGCGCACCACCAACACCTGCCATTCACCACTGGCGGTGATGTCACCACGGCGTTTGTGCCAGGCAATGTGCACTTTAAGGTTACGTGAAGTGCCAAACGCCCGCTGGCAGGAGGTCACGGGACAGACCCAGGTGGCATGGGTCGACTGACTGAAATTACTGGCAGATGCACCACCTGTGCCCCCTACTATGCCAACTTGCTGTGTTTTAGCCGCCTGGCACTCCGCTCGTTGTTGTGATCGTCGCTCCTCTGTCTTCCATTGTCATTGGAGGGCGTCTGCCTCTAACTGCCCAGGGGCGTCCTTCACGAGCCTCCTCCACAGAGGCCGATCTTAACACTGCTGGTACCAGTTATTGGCAATATCACCGTGAAAATGAGCCACAAACTTTACAACAAAATAAATCTTACATGATTATCCTATTTCCCTGCACCCTATTGTTAACGTCTCAATGTGTTTGACAAATTATTTCATGGCATTCACAGTGCTGCTGTTCACATATTCATTAAAATTAGAGTTTACAACCACACGTACGCATTTGTACGACAACCCAAAATGCCCCTCGATGCTATTTACAAACAAGGATCTTGTTGCGTCTGTGAGCTGTGAGTTGAAAGGACTATAAAGTATCCGGCTCAGACACTCACGGGTGCAGCTAAATTTACGAGGGAAGAAGCAAGAATTGTTCACTCATTTTAACCGCATAAATTATAAGCGCGGGAGACTGGGGTTTTTTTTTTTGTCCAACGCAAAAAATGTGCTCCATTTTGGGGGCTTCATTCGTAATTAGGCACACACTGTGCCAGCAACCAAGCACCACCGGCATGCATCAGACTCAATGGCCCTCTGACAACCGAAACACAATCCAAACCTCACACAATGGGCTCCATATGATAATTACTGCACTTAATGACCGGCCTTTTCATCTGACTGCCTTAATCATGCAACTTTACATGAACGAGCATTTAATGAGGAGCCACGTGATAAGCTCTGTCAAAGTGACGACGAAGAAACATGTCCGTCTGGCAGTGACGACCGGAGCCCTCTCAGGGCGGCTGCCTCTTCCTCCGGCTGTGATGCGTTGCGCTAATATCTCTCTCGACGTCGAATCAATCACCGTCTCCCGGGCCGTATGAAAAAGCGTCTCTTCAGCGCGCGCACGTGAAACGCGGCAATGCTATCGGAGCGCCCGCGCCAGGCTTACCAGCCAGTCCCCCACGACTCCACGTCTCCTGCCGCCGTTCTCATCCGGCCGAGTGGCTCAGCGGCAGAGCTAGGGACTCTCAACCGGGAGGTTGTGAGTTCAATTCCTGGGCGGTCAATGCAGCCCATCATCCCTCTGGGGTTGGTAAAATAGGTGCCAGTTTGTGGGCAAGTCAACTGAGGTTGTCCTATGGAGAGGCTCACGACTGCCATAGGAATGTGGAATTTCCACCACTGGCTCAGGGTTGTGAACAGGGGATGAGCAGAAAATCTCTTTGACTGTTGTTTATTTTTTATTGCTAAAAATAAATAAAACGTGAAATTTGAATTTCTTATATTAGAAAAATAAAGTAATCATATTATTCATTCACTGAAATGGAACGAATGACTGCTTAATAGGCGACGGAGCTGCCAGCGTGACCGCCATCGTGCCTCCGACGCTGTCTCACAGAGAGACGGAGAGACAGCGTCCAACATCACAACGGGGACAACACAACAACGCAGTCGGAGAGACAGCAAGCAGAGACGAAGCCAAGTGCGGGCGGCCAGCGTGAGCGCGTCTGGCCAACCGATGAGCCGAGCGAAACGTTGACGCTAATGGCTTTGACCTCGTAGGGTTACAGGGCGCCTCTGTAATATTCAATATCAAGAGGAATTTCAAAGCTATTCAAGACCTGTAGTTAACGATGTAAATACGGATGGTTCTAAATATTGCATGCGAGCGCACGCATTGCCCGTGCGTGCACACCCCCATGTATTATTTAACGCCCGGAGAATTGAATCTTCGCGTGAACCGTGATGGACGTTTACTAAACTGGCCGGGCGCCCGTGGAATATCCCATTTTGCGGGGTGATTGTACTCGCACCGTCACACAACGGAGCGAGGTGAGACGAGGTGAGACGAGGGGAGAGGGGGGCAGGAGACGGGGAGAGAGATGGGTGCTGCGGGAGCAGAGACACAGAGAGAGGTGTGTGCAGGACATCACAACGCCGACAGGATTGGCCGTGCCCTCCTGCCCCACGCCTCTCGGTCTCGCCTCATTAGCAGAGTTCCAGTCTGCAGCCCAGGCCAAGCCAGCCGAGCGTGTGTGTGTGTACGGGGTATAGATACCCTGTCACAATGTCAACATGCTGCAGAGAATTACACATTCTTATAGCACTCGCTTGTTTGCCCGTCCAAGGACGGGTGTGTATTGAAGTTAATCTGAAACATTCAATCGAAAATAATGACCCGCTCATGATTATTAATGAGGGGGGTGCTCCATGTGGAGTGACGTCACCCGAAATAGTTATTGGGGAGGGGTGCGGTATGTGGAGTGACGTCACCCGTTAATAATTATTAATGAGGGGGGTGCCTCACGTCATCCACTCATGATTATTAATGAGGGGGGGTGGGCCTCATGTGGAGTGACGTCACGTGCAGGACACACATTCTTGGCTTATTATATTAGTAATTATTTAATTCAGCTCGACCTAAATCCACCCACTCATGAATATTAATGAGGGGGGGCTCATGTGGAGTGACGTTACTTGGGGGGGAGGGCCTCATGTGGAGTGAGGTGACGAACGGGACACACATTCATGGCTTACTATAGTAGTAATGTCGCTACCTCAAGAGTAATTTGACACTAATATATTTGTGCAACAAAGTAAATTAGACACACATTATGCACTGACATGTGTGTATAATGTACTTTGTTAAATGTTAAAAGAAAAATACCCATTGTTTATTGCATTGATAATATGGTCCGCGACGAAAGATTTGAAATCACAATATAAGTGGACACCGTTGTAAACGGCTTCATGAGCGGCAGAGAATGTGTACATTGGCCGTAGACTGGAGTAGGAACCGCATCGACGGAACTTCAGCTGGCCCTCGCTGTCTCAGCTGCAATGGAGGAATTAGCCCTGACCCTTCCACACGCCACGCGCTGTTCACTAGGCGCTGGCTTCTTCTCTTGATCGTGGCGATCATCGGCTACTCTACCGATGGGGTAATCGCGTGCTGCTCCACGCAACGCAGCCGGTTTGTGAACTCCTCGATTCAAGAATCTCATCGGTGTGCGCGGTTCAAAGCGGGACGCTTCGATCTCAGGTGCGAGTCACAACCAACACACCGGCTCAACATTCACTGCACGATGGACATCTATATATATAAAATCGCGAATCTGTCTGTCTGTCTGTGTGTGTGTCTGTGTGTCGCCGGACCATACGCAGTTTCATTGGACGGCGGTTTCCCCTGGCAACGGGTAGCCGCGGGGTGGACGCCATTTTTAATTCCCGTAAAAAATAGGCGCACGCATTAACACGCGACTCTGAGATAAATTCATCAAAGTTTCACGTCCTCTTCACTCCCCCCCCACCACAATGTGTGCAATTACTATTATAGGGTCGGTAGATTATAAAATTATAGCGATTACACAGTATTATTGTAGCGCGGGGGGGGGGGGGGGGAACGGCACCTGTACCCAGCCTCAGCCGGGTGGGCAATTTAGGCGAGGCCGGAGGCTCTGCACGGTACTAGGCCTCGACACCCACCACGCGACTCTGAGGTAAATTCATCAAAGTTTCACGTCCTCTTCACTCCCCCCCCCCACCACAATGTGTGCAATTACTATTATAGGCTCGGTAGATAATAAAATTATAGCGATTACACAGTATTATTGTAGCGCGGGGGGGGGGGGGGGGGGAACGGCACCCGTACCCAGCCTCAGCCTGGTGGGCAATTTAGGCGAGGCCGGAGGCTCTGCACGGTACTAGGCCTCGACACCCACCACGCGACTCTGAGGTAAATTCATCAAAGTTTCACGTCCTCTTCACTCCCCCCCCCCACCACAATGTGTGCAATTACTATTATAGGGTCGGTACATAATAAAATTATAGCGATTAGACACTATTATTGTAGCGCGGGGGGGGGGGGGAACGGCACCCGTACCCAGCCTCAGCCGGGTGGGCAATTTAGGCGAGGCCGGAGGCTCTGCACGTTACTAGGCCTCGACACCCAGCACGCGACTCTGAGGTTAATTCATCAAAGTCCCCTAGGTCGACTCAGCCTCAAAACGAGTAACTGGTGTGGCGTATGAACATCGCCACTGGGGAGACAAAGGCGGCCGGGCGTGGTGGATCCAAGTCCCGGGCGAAGCCGGGTAGTACAGCTAGTCTTCAAACAAAACTGTCAGACGGACGTGGAGCGCTGTGCATGTGGCAAGGCCGCGGTCGTCGCATGTGGCCCACTGTAAATTGCGTCCGTGTGTCCGTCACTTTTTAATTAGAAATTTGAATGAATCAGCCCATGGGCCTTGAAAGCACGTTTCATTTCACCGACCCTACGGTTAATCTACAGATTTTGCTGGAAATCGGAGCTCCGTGAATATTCCTTCTGAGAGCCCATTGAGACACTAATAATAGTCTTTTACAAGAGGGACTCGGGTCACAAATAAAACAGGGATCAAAACAAACAAATTACCGAGGCACAAATGAAGCTGCACGTGCGTTGAGAATTTGAGATAGGGCTCCAAAGCGGCCATGTCCATATTACCAAGCGCCGACTATGGACGTCTTCTCGCAGCACGACCATGGGGAATCATCTTCATGGGGAAATCGCCTCGCTTGAATGGTGAGGAGAACAGGGTGCGCTCCGATCATCAATCCCCGTGCCGCGCGACAATCTCCCTCAGCGTTGCCCTCCACATGGCCCGTGTGCCAGTGGCACTACGGCTGCCGTGGCGGCCGTAGTGCTGGTGACCTCGCAGTGACCTCGCAATGCGCGTGGACGGAAGCGACGCTCCACCCACACCGGCACGGACGGCCCCAACTGACGACGATGCCCTTCCCGAGATCCCAGCCCCCCACTCTAGCCTGGTGTTTTACTTGACAAACCGCGATATTGGTCTCAGTCTGTAGTATCTATCATAACTCTCCATGTATTACCTTACACAGTGGTCAAATCAAAGTTAATTCTGAATCCTCAGAATATTTCTTTAGACTGGAGGAATCCGAAGAGCTGCAAAGCTCTTTTTGACAAATTTCCTCCTCAAATAAACTTTGCGGCATTGGTCCTAATCTCCTGTTTGCAGCCCTGAACCAGTGGCTGAAATTCCCCATTTCTATTGCTGGGGTGAGTCTATCCATAGGACATCCACTGTTGTTAATTCCCACAAAAGTTGTTCTCAATTGACCCAGAAGGAACGCTGGACTGACTCCACTCCCAACCGGGACTTGAACTCGCAACCTTCCGATTGCGAGCCTGCCCGCTCTACCGCTGAGGCCATCCAGCCGCTGAAAGCATTTGTGGTGGTCAGGAAGTAGCCCTTGAACAGCAGCCCTGATTGCAAACAATTCTAATTCACAAATCAATCTGAAGTGACAACAGCACACAACACTGCTCCTTCCCAGAGAGCATTAACAAATCACAATTACAATCAGCCAGCGACTTAAGGCGGTGAGTCCTGTCTGTGTGTGCGTGCGTGGGGAGCGGTGGTGTAGCGGTTAGTGCAGCTGCGCTACGAACCCGGACACCTCAGTTCGATTCCCGCTCACGGCCAACACCAGTGACGATTATCTGAACCCGTCTTGGGCCTCCCCTAGGTCGACTCGGCCTCAATTGAGTACCTGGTGCGGTGTGTATACATCACCACTGCGGAGGCAAAGGCGGCCGGCCGGGCGTGGTGTTGGCCACCCACCTCCTCGTGTGCCGTGCCGGCCTTCATAGGTGCTCGCTAACAGCACTTGCCCCTACAGTCTGGTACAGGCTATACGGGGGATCTTGTCTTGTGTGCGAGTGCGCGTGGCCCGTGGCCATGTTTACCAGTGCGTCCACCGTGTGCACGGTGCTGTTGGCGTTGTGCAGGCTGGCGGTGAGCCTCTGCACGCCGTCGTTGTTCTCGCTGTTCCCGTAGAAGCCCACGCCGATGGCGCCGCTGCGGGGGGACAGAGGAGACGCAGCCCTCGCATCGTTATTTCGGACATCGCTGGAGATGGGACACCTTGTTTGCAAGCGTGCCCATGGTGTCAGTGTACACATGCATCGCAAACACGTGGTGACGCGCACGAACGCTTATAACTGCGGCCTTAAAATAAAAATATACTGCATATCGGCGATGTTTTGGGCAACAGCCCTTCTTCATATGCTAATGCTGAGAGTGTTGAGTTGTTTTTTTGTTAATTGTGCTGGTGCACCACTGCCAACGCTGCAGGAGCAGCATCACCAAATAATGTTTTGATATCCACAGACTCACACATACATACACAAACACATAATTACATCCATAATACACGTTTTTTCTGGGTTAGATCGTGTAAATATATAAATGTGTCATTAAACCCGCCACCACCCGACACAGCCAACTAGTAAGGGTTGTCACGTCAATAGAAAATACCAACATGTTGTGGCTTTGCTCTCCAACACACCGGTGTGCTGTACTAGTAACGGAATGACATTCTGTTGACGTGACAACCCTTACTAAATGGCTGTGTCGGGCGGTGGTGGGTTCGACTGTACCTTTGTATATTTACGAGATCTAACCCAAAACACCTCGATTATGGAAATCGGTGACGAAAGCCGACTACGTGTTAAACTCACGTAGTGACATGGCTCAGTAGCTTCAATAAGCTTCTCGTGGTAGCTGCATTTGCAAAGCGTGGGGGGGGGGGGCTTGTTGTTTTAGCTGCAACGGGAATCTGTTGCAACGTAGGTAAACTGAATCTAGGTGATTTAGACATTATTGCGAAGCAAGCTGCTGAACCCTCTGGGTACGGCGTTATTAAATACTAGCTTCTTTGCCCGTCCTAGGACAGAAGTATAATTATCTATTTAAAGCTTTCGTGACTGCAGGGATTCATATTCTTGGTTCTTTCGGTAAAGTCACGTAGAAGGGAAATAATAAAATAATAAAAATATAACAATAAAATTCTCACGACGTTTCGATTGCAACACAAGCAATCATCATCAGGTGTGAAACCCACAGCAAGAAAATTTGAAACGTTAAGAAAAAACCGCCACTTTTTTTCTAAATGTTCTTGCTGTGGTTTTCACACCTGATGATGATTGCTTGTGTTGCAATCGAAACGTCGTGAGAATTTAATTGTTTTATTTTTATTATTTTATTATTTCCCTTCTACGTGACTTTACCGAAAGAACCAAGAATACAGAGTATAATTGTATCTTGTGTAAATTTAATGGCAGTGATTCTTGCACGAAACTATGTCATAAAACACCTCACTTCATGTCACTGTAGCACTGTATATAACTGACCTTCAATTTGTTCAAATTCACTTTATTCTCTTCTGCTTTCCGTCGATGGGGTTGAAATAAATTGGAATTCCATACAATATCTGGGAAATCACCAAGAAATGTCTATTTTACCATAATGTAGAATCATAAATTAGACTAATCTTTTGTCGCAAGTGCTGAAAAAATAAATAAAGACACCAAATCCACTTTGTTGCTGCGTGGAATTATTAATTAGATTAACTTTCAATAAAGAAACGTCAAACTTAAAGCGAATTTGTGGAAAAAATAATTTCTTTCCGCTCCATCTTCTGCGCGAGCGTAAAAATCCACCCGCTCATGAATATTAATGAGGGGGGTGCGACATGTGGAGTGACGTCACGCACATTACACACAAACAGACATCCTTGCCTCGTTATAGTAGTAATCTGCCACATGTTGCACCTAAGCATCATTACGTTCATATCATGGGACCTTTTTGCCAGTATCAAAGTATGAAAAATAAGAATAGGTTTTACCCTTTCTGGCAATAAAACAGGAGGTGTTATCAAGTCATCATTAACAAGCACACGTAAATTTCGATTTAAATTTCGATTTAAAGCTTTCGTGACTGCAGGGATTCAAGTCACGTAGAAGGGAAATAATAAAAAAATAAAAATACATAATGAATATGTGTTTTATATTTTCTTTCATTATTTCCCTTCTACGTGACTTTACCGAAAGAACCAAGAAGATGAGCCACACGTCCTGGTGGTGAACATGCAAACCAACTCTCAACATCTGCATTGTCTTTGAAACTGATTGACCTACACTAGAGGCAGAACGAATGCTGGTGTAGGCCAATCGGTTTCAAAGACAATGCATATATCATAATCAGTTTGTTTGCATGTTCACCACAAGTGTGGTTAATGCAGACTTGATTCCTTGCGACATGTATCTACTTTGTGTTTGAACATCTTAGCACCTGTTTTATTGCCAGAAAGGACAAAAGCTCTTCCTATTTTTCATATAAATATATTTTTGGAACTTTGAGTCTCGCTCCGCTCCCCATTAATTGCTCTGGTGATGCGTTCTACTTGTGCAGCGCGTGATTTTGAATCAATATTCCGCTGCAGGGCCGAGAGGAGCTGCGCGCGACGAAAGCTCCGCAATCGATTCGCCTCCACAATGGCCAATTGAGCACGACCATAACCACAATCACCTGAGCACCGTCGACTATAATCATAGCGACAATAATTTAAACTCATAAAGCGCGGCCGCAATCCCACGACGTTCGTTCTCCCTTCGAGAGCGAGCGAGCGAGCGCGAGGCATGAGGGGGGGGGAACCAGGTTGAATCACCGCCGCAGATTGAACAGCCGTCATTTTTAAGGGAATTGTGACGTGAAATCACACCGAGCTGCAGGCCAGTTATTTTGCTGAAATGACAGTCGCTGTAACCTCTATTTTTTTGCGCGAGTGGGAAACAAGTGGAGGCCGAATCGCTCGGTGATTGAATGATTTTCTTAAAATGCCGAGACGTTCAAATTCGAAGGAAGCAGCTCTCCGTTTTTCTTGAGTGCAACCTGAGGCCAGGTGGAGAAGTTCCAAACCACATCAGCACAACGCCGAACGCATCCGCAGTAGAATATCGTGAAACAAAACCCCTTGTGGTGACGAGAGGCTTGAGGGCTGTGCAGGCCTGGGCGGCTCTAGTACTCGACAGGGCCATGCACGGCAGCACGTAGTCAGCAAGAGGCCAGACGAGAGGAGCCCGCTTCACAAAACTGCACTGACCAGCGTGGTAAAGTAGAGTCAACCCCCAACAATGATCGACAGACCTTGACCATGGCGGCCGGGCGTGGTGCTGGCCACCCCCACGTGAGTCGTGCCGGCCTTCGTAGGTGCTCGCTGACAGCACAAGCCCCAACAGTCTCTTAAGGCTATATGGGGGGGTCTTTGTCTCTGAGTCTAGGATGTCTGTGTGGATCTGTGCGAGTGCGTGGGTCTCTTATGTTGCTGGGTAGGTGCAGGAACTGGGTACGAACATACTGGCTCTGTCTAGCGAATCAAACCTTGTTGAATTGGAGATGCAAGTGACAGACATGGATGGGGACACAGTTGGCCTGGTTACAGGTGAAAGTCAGTGGCCGTTTCAGGAGAAGAGGATCTTGCGTATCAACGGCAGAGAGGGTGGATGAGCTACAAGGTCACGAGATCAACATTTGCGAGCTGACAGACAAGTCTCCATGCGGGGAGGTGGTGGTGAGGGGTCACAGGTGGTGGTGAGGGGTCACAGGTAGTGGTGAGGGGTCATTGGCGTTCATCACACGAGGACCTCTTTATTGGGTCACAGATGCAAGAAACACATTACTCAACCCAGAGTCTAACTGTGTTCATTTTAAATTCAGGACCACGTGCATTTCCTTTGCAGGGGATAGAAACCAGTGCCAAAGGTTGCATTAAATAAGCTCGGAGAATGTGCACGCAGTTATCGTTTGAAGCCCATATTTACGGAAATATTATTTACAAATGTGCACGGTGAAAAACACGTGGCAGCGAGCTTCCCGTGCAGTGTGGTCCGGCGGCCGGCGCGGTGAGAACATGCGCCGACTGGGCTCCCAGTCCGCGGTGAGGCCATGCGCGAGGGCCGACTGGGCTCCCAGTCCGCAGTGAGGCCATGCGCGAGGGCCGACTGGGCTCCCAGTCCGCAGTGAGGCCATGCGCGAGGGCCGACTGGGCTCCCAGTCCGCGGTGAGGCCATGCGCGAGGGCCGACTGGGCTCCCAGTCCGCGGTGAGGTCATGCGCGAGGGCCGACTGGGCTCCCAGTCCGCGGTGAGGTCATGCGCGAGGGCCGACTGGGCTCCCAGTCCACGGTGAGGCCATGCGCGAGGGCCGACTGGGCTCCCAGTCCGCGGTGAGGCCATGCGCGAGGGCCGACTGGGCTCCCAGTCCGCGGTGAGGTCATGCGCGAGGGCCGACTGGGCTCCCAGTCCGCGGTGAGGCCATGCGCGAGGGCCGACTGGGCTCCCAGTCCGCGGTGAGGCCATGCGCGAGGGCCGACTGGGCTCCCAGTCCGCGGTGAGGTCATGCGCGAGGGCCGACTGGGCTCCCAGTCCGCGGTGAGGTCATGCGCGAGGGCCGACTGGGCTCCCAGTCCGCGGTGAGGCCATGCGCGAGGGCCGACTGGGCTCCCAGTCCGCGGTGAGGCCATGCGCGAGGGCCGACTGGGCTCCCAGTCCGCGGTGAGGCCATGCGCGAGGGCCGACTGGGCTCCCAGTCCGCGGTGAGGCCATGCGCGAGGGCCGACTGGGCTCCCAGTCCACGGTGAGGCCATGCGCGAGGGCCGACTGGGCTCCCAGTCCGCGGTGAGGCCATGCGCGAGGGCCGACTGGGCTCCCAGTCCGCGGTGAGGTCATGCGCGAGGGCCGACTGGGCTCCCAGTCCACGGTGAGGCCATGCGCGAGGGCCGACTGGGCTCCCAGTCCGCGGTGAGGCCATGCGCGAGGGCCGACTGGGCTCCCAGTCCGCGGTGAGGTCATGCGCGAGGGCCGACTGGGCTCCCAGTCCGCGGTGAGGCCATGCGCGAGGGCCCGACTGGGCTCCCAGTCCGCGGTGAGGTCATGCGCGAGGGCCGACTGGGCTCCCAGTCCACGGTGAGGCCATGCGCGAGGGCCGACTGGGCTCCCAGTCCACGGTGAGGTCATGCGC